ATCTATCTATCTATCTCTCGTGTCATGAAGCATTTACCGCCGTGCACGTCGACGTGGGCGCGCGTTTTCAGGAGGATCACATTGTCGTAGTTCAAAACCTCGAATGATTGTATCTGGTCATCGTTCCCGCATTGTCGTTTGGAACTCATCTGGCAATATCTGTCGGAAAACGTGGAACCCGCACAGCCGAGAAAAAGCGACATATCCATTGTAACAATTCTGCTTTGGTTCGAGATTTGCACGTCCAATAAGCAGATTCATGCACTGTTGCAGGTGCTCCTCCAGCCCAGCAAAAGTAACAGCCTCCTCCAAAAGCGCTGCGGGTCCCGGCCACCGACTCCTAATCTCGGCGACTGTCTGCTCGGCGACTGTCTGCTCCTCGTCGCGGAAAGGATCTGTATTTGACCCATTTCCCAACACGACTGCGTCGGCCCGCACGCCAGCCATGCGTCGTCGGCGGTCCATGTATGGGAATGGGTGAATATTATTGTGTCGCTTATATGTGAATTTGTAGAAATCTACAAAACACAACATCACGAGCACCGATGACCTTAGTATTGTACCTCCACATAACAAAAACGAAAAGAAATTTCACAACGCAAAGCAGGCGAATAAAAAAAACCTCAAAACATATAACAAACACATGGGAGATGATGATTGCATATGTATACACAAAATGTGTAATATTTCAAACCATCATTTTGTCTCTCTCCAACAACGAAGAAACATAGGGAAAAAAAAAAAACGAACGGTACTCATCGCTGGATCGCACTGCAAGGATAAAACATGGCAGAGAAATCCTCGCCATCGGAGACAAAATAGGGCGGTGACACGACCAGCCGCCAAACACCGTCCCGAGCGACCGTCCCGTAGTGTCTGTATAGTATGCGATGCACAAGGGGGAAGATGATATCATACATCAAATCACCGTCGATCGGTTTGAGAACAAAGGTGCTTAAGTACGTGGTCAGCTTAGACATTAGGACACGAACGTGTTCGATGGCGTGGTCACGAATATAAGTCTCTGTAGTGAGCCTGACGACTCGTTCCTCCTCGACGCTCACAACAAAATGACGATCCACCTTCTTATCTCCATTGAGGTATCCCACTGCATCGCCGACAGGATCTGTTACGGAAGTCATTGATTCGTAATAGTATACAGTATCGGTGCCTGTCAGTTTTGTGGTGTGGTAACATCGGACAATCATTGGCGCGCAATGCATCGTCGCTTCTTTCGTATGGCGTTCAAAAAGTGTTGCAATTCACATGAAACCGACACCGTAAGTTATGAACCTAACGATCGAGCAACGAATCACGCAAACATGATGTTCTGCATGCACCGCACGGGGAGGGGGAACACACTTTATACATATATATGAGATGAGCGGGTAGTCGCGGTCTCGAACACTGTCGAATGTTAAAAACCTTTACGATTTTGTGAGTCAACCCGCTTGTTTTGGACTAAGCATGAGACAACCGGGATGGTGGTTCGTTGACACTTTGGTACTATTGTCGGCAACCGTCCATTGGCAACACAATGCGCACATCTCCGTGGAGAAAAGTACGGCGTTGCAGCGGCCTGTCGAGTTTGGAGAAATACCATGCGTTGGGTGCTAACCTTTCCACATGCTCGACCGCAACGACTGACACGATGCACCTTAGCAAATGAGCAATCATATCGAAGTCGGGGGGTTCGCAGGCATTGAGAACGACATCCGAAAACTTTTTTGCGTGCATTACAACCTCATCAAGGCAATCCTGGTCGTTGTACCCCAGCCCCGCCACGACCCTCAAAGCGAGGGTGTCATCGATGAACGCGTAGTACACACGTGTTTTCGTGGCGACAACCCCTTCCCAGTGTTCAAAGTCTCTTTCGTTTTCAGTATCGCGCTCACACACTGTCTCTGTCACGACGATATCCTTTCCAGCCACAGCCTCTTTCACAGCAACAACTACGTCGGCCATGTTGTGTCGCAAGGTCGAATAAGTAAACCTGACAATTATGAACTGTCTCAATGGCTTTCCGACGACACTGTGAAAGCTGACGGCAACACAATGCGTACGATAAGCCACGGACACAATGAGTCGAGTGACGCGGCTGCAAAAAAAAAATAAAAAAAATTATAATAATTACGAACAGTAGTACGTTGGTTGGTTAGTTGGGTAGGTGGGTGGTTGGGCGGTTGGGTTAGGTGGTTGGTTGGGTGGTTGAGCGGATGGATGGGTGGTTGTGTGGCTGGTTGCTTCGTTGGTTGGGTGGTTACGTGGACGGTTTTGTGGTTTCATGGGTTGGTTGGGTGGTTACGTGGACGGTTTTGTGGTTTCATGGGTTGGTTGGTTGGGTGGGTGGGGGGGTGGTTGGGTGGTTGGGTGGGTGGTTGGGTGGTTGGGTGGGTGGTTGGGTGGTTCGGTTGTTGGGTGGTTGGGTCGTTCAGTTGTTGGGTGGTTGGGTGGTTGGGTGGTTGGGTGGTTCGTTGTGTGGTTAGGTGGGTGGTTGGGTGCTTAGGTGGGTTAGGAGGGTCGATTGCTTGATTGGGCGGTTCGGATGGGCGCGCTTCAAAACATGGGGTGGTTGAGTGGTCGGTTTGGGGCTTGTGGTTGGTTGGGCGGTTGGAGTGGATCGTTGGGTGGCTGTGGTGGTTGGTTGGGTGGTTGGGAGGGTCGTACATTTGGGTATTATGTTTGGGTGAGTGCGTTTGTGGATTGGTTGATTGGTTGGGTGGTGGGTGGG